GTGATGGTGTCAACACGGAATTCCGTCTTGCTTACCTTCTTAGTGACCTGAAGATAGCAGGCGCGGGCAATTTTCTGGTTCCCTCGGCAGTAGCCAATTCCCCCCTCGGCGGGAAACTTGAGGCAGAGATGCCTCATGGAGATGATGGCTTCGAGGTCCTCGAGGGCTGGCCGGCCGAGGATGATGTTGTGGGCGCAGTCAATGTTGACGACGACGAACTCCACCTCGAGCTGGGCTCTATGGAGCCCGTCGCCGAAGATCACCGGGAGGGTTATTACCCCCTCGGGATCAATAGTGTCGCCGGTGAAGCCGGCAAGAGGTGTCTTAATGGGCCGAAGGGACCCCCTCTCCAGATGCAGCTCTCTGAAGGTGCTGAGGTACATTACATTGACAGAGCTGCCCGTGTCAACGTAAGTTCAGTGAATGATGGTGTCGTTTATCTTCGTCCGAATCACCAAGGCATCCCTGTGAGGAGAAGAAGTAGGAGGGAGATCTGCGTTGGTAAAGGTGATGGGTTCTTCCCTCAGTCGCTTTACCGGGGGCATATGAGTGACTTCCCCCACGTAAAGCGATTGAGCCCACTTCTTTCGTTGGCTGGTGGAATCGCCCCCTGTATTGCCACCGGTGATCATGAGGATGTGGCGTTTCTTCTCCTGGTAGTGGGGGTACTCCTCCTCCTCTTCTTCCAAGTTTCCGATCTCCCTCTTCTTGCCGAGGGGGATGGTGTTCGGATTTACCCAGGCATTTACCTTCGTATGGTGCCCTCGGGGAGGTCCCTGATGAGAAGGTCCCTCCTGCCGAGGGCTCTGAACAAACTGGGACAGGTGCCCCGCCTGTATTAATCTCTCGATGGCCGTCTTCAGCTGATGGCAGTCATCGGTCCTGTGCCCCTGGTGCCGATGGAAGCGACAGTAGGGGAACTGAGGGTTGAGAGCGTGTACCTCCGGGGGTGCGCGAGAGTCACGCTCAACGAGGCCCCTCTCCTCGGCAAAATCGAGGATGATGCTGACGGGGTGCGTCAATGGTGTCCGAGGGCGGTCCAGGAGAATGGGCTGGGCCCAAGTCTTAGGGTTACTCTTATAACCTCCCCCGGGCTTGGCTTGGCCTTGCCGAGGGCGGTCATCAGAAGGTCCCGAAGCCTTGGGGCGATTTGGAGGAGCCCCCGGCCCTCGGTTATGCTTGTTGTCAGCCCTCGGGGGCTGCTGGTCCGGATGCTGGTGATACTTCTCCACCTCCTCGGCTTCAGCATATCGGTCCCCCCGCTGCAAAGCCCTTATGTAATCGCGGGGGGGTTCAATGATGAGGCTCCTTGAAAAGTTACCGGTGCGGAGGACGGTTTGTAGGAGGGCCAGGAGGGTCCCATCATCAGCACCGTCGACCTTGTCGGCCTCCGTCCTCCAGCGCTCCAGGAAATCCCGAAGGGTCTCATCCTTCTTCTGGCGTATTGTTAGGAGGTGGGAGAAGTGCTTCCTTGTGCGACGCCTCCCGGCGAATTGTGTCAAGAATTGTTGGGCGAGTTCTTGCCACGAATCAATACAGCCCTCGGGCAGCCTCTTGAACCATTCGTATGCCGGTCCCTCTAAGGTGGAGAGGAACCATCGACACAAATATTCGTCTGACGCCCCCACCATCATCATGTTGTTCTGGTATTTGCTGTAGTGTTCCTGGGGGTCCGTCTTCCCGTTGTAGGGCTGTATGTGTTGCCCTCGGTATTTTTCCGGGATCCGGGCCGCCAATACCCTTGGGGTAAATGGCGTCCGAGTCCGGAGCTGGATGACGGTTTCCCCAGAGCCCTCGGCCACCCTCTTCTGTAACTCCTCCATTTTGGCCATCATGGCCTCGTATTTGAGATCTGAATGAGGGGTGGAGGTGGTGGCGTGAGCTTTGTTGGACTCCATCTCGTCAAGCCGGCGTTGGAGGGCCGCAATAATCTCGTCCCGGGGATCCTTCGGGAGGGTCTCCGCCCCCTGCGAACGAACCCGGGCCGAGTGGGCCTGGTTGATTTGGTGCCGAGCATCATCGGCATGAAGGGGTGCCTTACCTTTGTCCCGAGGGAGACGCTCCTCGTCTGCCCTCGAAACAGATCCCCCGCTTTCCTGGGGCCTTTGGAGTGCTTTCCCCCCGAGGCGGTCTTGGACCCCTCGGCGGTCTGGCCCTCCTTCGAGCCGGTTGAGGGCGGAAGTACGGGGCCTTTCCCTGTCGTCATTATGGCGGTCCCGGGACTGAACTTCCTGTGAGGACGTATCTTGGGCCACCACCCCTTCGTCGTTTCTCACCCGAGGGGTGGGATTTCCGAAGGGGTGTGGCAGAGGGGGAAGTATGATATTTTCCCCGATCTGAGGGTGAGCTGGAGCCAGGGTGCCGAAGGCACCCGGGTTCTGAGTGAGCGTCTGGATGAAGGCGGAGAGCGCCGATTGCACGTCGATGGTGAGAACCGGAGGGCTGACTTGGTCATCGCTCCGGTTTTTCTTCTTGGCCTCGATGCCGAGGCGGGCATCGGGGGCATTTTGTTGGATCTGAAGGCGTAGGTCGACAGCCGCCTGTTCCAGCCCAGCGATGACACCGCCCTCGGGAGCCCTGTGAGAGGCTTCGGGGGCGTTGACGTCGCCGAGGGCCAGGTTCTTGTCTTCTACGTTCTTTGAGTTGGCACGTGTTGTCCTCACCATTTTGATAGAGGGCTAGTGTTTTGCGTTTGGTCGAGGGGGAGGGTTTCTTACTCGATTGTTCAACCTCTCAACGAGAGCACCAAATGATGGATAGTCTACCCGGGGGTATATATCCGAAGGGTTATTACGGGGAATAACTTAGAGAGAAGTCAGAGCAAGTAAGTAAAAGTAGAGAGAGAGTGTATTCGGTATGAATGCCGTTTTCAACGTGGTTACAAATGAGGAAATGGGGTGCTATTTATAGTAGCAATAAATGCCGGGCAGGGACACGTGTCAAGCGCTCATTGGCCGAGGGGTCACCTCAACTGGTTGGCGCTGGCAGCCGCATGTGGCCGCATTTAATGCGGCTGTTGGATGGGACGTCTGTGCGGGGTACGGTGATCTGTACGCATGTGAGGCGGATATCTTGTCGAGTGAGATGCCTTCGGCTATAGAGCAGTAGCCGAGGGCTCTTCCACCCGATGGCACCCTGGTGCCGAGGGCTCACAGTGCCGAGGGCTACTGTTTTCGCCGTTTTCTCCCAGTTTCTTAATTTGCTTGAGAAACCCGTTCTGTGAGAATTTGGAGCCTTCGGCCAGGGGGCGAAGGCACCCCTGGCGCGTAGTGCGGACTGCTTGGTACTCTGGGCGCTGTGATTTGGGCCTGTTGGGCCTTTTGGGCCTTTTGGGCCTTCGCTGGAGTAGTAGGAATCTGTGAGCCGGGGGTTCCCGGGCCATATACTCCATCAATATATATATATATATATATATATATATATATATATATATATATATCCACTTTTATGAATTGAATTCTCCATAGTAAAGCTTTTGGATTCGATTGAATTCTAAATCCTAACCTTTGCTAAATATTATCTCTAAACAAACTCGTATGATGTTATTTATTCTTAGGATTAGGATTCTAGACTGAAAAATATTAGAGACTGATGTTATTTCCTAACCTAGAATTTCCTTATTTTTTGCTAAATATTGTTTTAAAACCTACATACTAGTATGATGTTATTTATTGTTCGTATGAAAGCAAGTGTGCTGTTAGTATGATTATAATTCGATTTTTTCTAGAATTTCATTTTAAAATATAAGTGGTTTTAAGATGAAATAATCCGGGTTGCATTCTTCATTCTAAATCCAAAAGCTAAGTTTAAAAAAATCCTGGATTTTAAAAAGCTAAGTGGAAGACAGGATGATCAAGTAATGAGGGAAAAAACACAATTAAGAATAGTAACTTTTTATCACAAATGTTTGTAATCTGGATTGTAATCTAGATTGGTTTTTATACTGGAATCTGATTGCAATTCTTTTGGAGATCAGCTGCTAGCTACTTCAAGTTCAATAGTAATCTGATTTTTATACCACCTCAGTAAGTAATAGGAAACTCCTATATGTCTATTTGTTTTATTTTGTAGATTATGAAGTGTAATGTTGAAAAGGAAGTGTGTTTTATGTGATAATGGTAGCAGTGCAACAGAAAAACTAAAACGATCTCGTAGTTGGCCGCTTCTTCATTTGAGTGTTGTCTCTTCTTTTTGTCCGTCTTTGAGCGAGGTAATTTATTAAACATCAATTAAAGTGCTATATATTTTTTGCGTAGGTAATTTATAGATCATATTATATATCCTAAATACTACTTCATTTGACATTAATATGTGCATTAGATGAGTAGCAACATACCTAATATGACAGACTCATATGAGTCTCGACGTGCAAATTGGTCAGATCGTGAGGTTATTAGTTTTCTTGAGGTGTGTACAAAGGAATCATTGCAAATGCATCGCAAAAATCAATCATTTAGTAGTGAAGGCTGGAAACTAATTGAAAAAGAAATGGCAAAAATGAGATTGCCTTACTCTGTCAAGCAACTCCAGAACAAATTGAACCTATTGGCTCGGCAATATAGCACATGGGACAAGCTAGTTCGCAAGGAGACCGGTATAGGGTGGAATCCAGAAACAAACACTTTTGCGGCAGATGATGAATGGTGGGCTCGGAAGTCAATGGTAAACTGCTTTATACTAATCTATAATTTTTTTAAAAATTGTATGGTTATTAGATTGTGTTGGTACTAAATTTTTGTGTTCTTTATTTGTAGGAAAACAAAGAAATTGCAAAATTCAAAACGGTTGGCCTTGATATGAACATGTGGAACTTGTTGTGGTTGACATTCCGTGGACATGCTGCTAAAGGACAACATGCATGTTCTGCAGCTAATGTTTTGGAGGAAGAAGTTGATGTTTACATACCAGAACAACCAACACAAAATATCCATGAAATGAGACTTGAGTCAGATTTTATGGAGTATTTAAATAATGTTAAGGAAACTGGATTCCTAGATGATGCTTCATATGAGCCAATGGGGATGTCATTAGATGCGAGTAACAGTAGTGGTAAGAGAAAGCACGGTGTTGGACCTGGAGAAAGTGCGAGTAGTGGTTCTGTAGCTAAGAAGGAAAAGATGACTAGTAAAGGTAAAGGAAAACACAAAGTTGCTCACTTGGAGTCGGAATTAGAAGGGTTTCAAAAAATGTATGAAAGAAGGAATGCATTGTTACAACAACATTTTGAGAGAGATAATGAGTTTGGTCTGTCTGAGGTTATGGGTGTATCTAGGACCTTACCAGGTGTGGTTGAGGGAGATGATTTTTGGTTCAAAACTGCAATGGTTATGAAAGAAAAAGGAAACCGAGAAATGTTCATGCTCCAAAGTACACCCGAGTATAAGTTGAAATGGGTGCAAATGCTTCTGAATCATATGAGCTAATTACTTATGTATCTTTAATGTATCACTTTGAGGATATTTTTAGACAATTTATTTTACTCTTGTTTGTATTGCTGTTTGATTTCATTAACTCGACAGTTTTTAATTCAAGACACAAGTTTGTTATGGTACATTGTTTTTATTTGAACTTATTTTATTGTTAACATCATTATTTACTTTTTCTTATAGATATTGAGCGTATTGCTATGGAAAATACTCTATTTGAAGCATGTTTCTTGGTAGATGAGGTGGAAGATGAGCTATGGAATGGTATGATAAAGTCTATGACTACTCGAGTTAGGTCTTACATTTGTCGTGTTAATAGGCAACCATGCTTTAACTCATCATACACAGGAATGGTATGGTTAAATGAGATTTTTAAAGGTCATGAGAAACGATGTATCAATGCGTTTCGGATGAAACCTTCCATGTTGAATGCCTTAGTAGAAATCATGACTTTAAAGTATGGATTAAAAGGATCAATGAATACGAGCATTGTTGAAAGGTTTTGCTTAACTATATATATCATGGCTCATGGTCATTCAAATAGAGAACTTCAAGAAAGATTCCAACACTCTGGTGAAACTATAAGTCGAATATTTGGAATTGTGTTGGATTGCTTGATGATCTTTTCTAAGGATATGATTGCACCCGTTGATCCCACCTTTGAGAGCGTAATTCCTGATGAAAGATATTTACCGCATTTCAAGGTAATGAACTACCCATTATGCTTGTAATTATACTTAAAGAGAGCATTCTGTAACTTAAAATTGGTAATAAATATAGGATTGTATTGGAGCTATCGATGGCACTCATGTTCCAGCAGTTATATTTGAAGAGAAAAAAGATATGTGGTACAATCGTAAAGGATTCATTAGCCAAAACATCATGGCAGCTTGTAGCTTTGATCTTCAATTCACATTTGCGGTTCCGGGATGGGAAGGATCGGCTCATGATGCTAGAATACTACGAGAGACACTAGAGAATCCTAGCTTGGGATTTCCCTCTCCCCCATTTGGTATGATTTAAATTTATTTGTGTCATGATACTTTTTAGTAGTGCTAACTATTCAATTTTTATTAAAATAGGTAAATACTATTTAGTAGATGCGGGGTACTCTATTCAAGAAGGGTTTCTACCACCACACCGCAATACTAGATACCATCCCTCTTCTTTCAATGGAGAGAGGCCGAACTCAGGAAAAGAGTTATTCAACAAGAAGCACTCGTCGTTGCGTAGTTGCATTGAGAGAACATTTGGTGTTTGGAAGGCAAGGTGGCGTATCCTTAGAGTCATGCCCTCTTATCCTTTTAAGGTGCAAGTCAAAATAGTGTTAGCTACCATGGCACTACATAATTTCATCAGGCGATATTCTAATGATGATCCGGCTTTTCTTTGTTTTGAGACAAATCTTGATTTCGTTCCGGAAGATCGCATTACTCCTCCAACACAAGAACCCACCGAAAGGTCTTCAAATGAGGTTCGCAGTGCAAGTTCTCAACGTATGGTTGCATTACGAGATGAAATAACAGAAAATTTGTCACGCAATATGAGGCAACGTCGTTGATAGTGTATGCCAATTGCATGTGTTCTATTATGTATTTTCTTTGTTTAATGTTTTCTCAAACATGTAATGAACTCTAATTAATACTTATATGTATTTTATGTTTCATTTTTATTTTAAATTTAATGCATGTCCATTTGTTAATATACTTTAGAAAAAGTATGTTTATTAAATTAATTTACTCATATTAGTCACAAAAATAATAGTAATGTCGCTCATTCGAAAATAAACATTTTTTGAAAGTAATTGTATAAAAAAAATCGACATAAGAGTATGAATGAAATTTCCAAAGTAATCAATTATTTAAATAGGCTTATAATTGGCTAATCAAACAAATGTACTTTATTATTAAAATTCACACCCATATATATAACACAAATAAGCTAATACCTTTTATAGTAATTTTACACACAATCAGCCATTTCAGCCAATATATTACCAAACACTTTTACTTCAGCAAATTAAGTCTTTTCAGGCTTTTCAGCCATTCCAGCCAATGCAGCTGTCACCAAACAGGCCCTACATGTGTTCTTGGCATTTCTACCAAAATTGATAGAAGATGGACTGATTTTTAGAGAAGCAAGAATGGTTTTTGTTCATGTTCTACAAAAAATTTACATCAAAGATGACTGATATCTAGCTGTGGAATAAGAATTTCAGTTCTGCTCCAGCCCAGCTAATTCACTAGTCAACAACAATAAAAAAAAAAAAAAACTTCAACAGCTTGGCCATAGCTCAAATCTCCACACCCAACAAAACGCTAGGGCCGAAGCAGGAGTCCAAGGAGAATGGAGAAAAATGATGGGTGGGGCCCGCGTGCCCACCACTTTCCTTATCCTGACAACACCTTTTGATGATTTGACATATTCGTGATTATCCAAAAAGCAAGTGTCGTTTCCCGAACGGAAACTCTCGAACGCCAGGACGAACGACTGCAGAATACTTCAATTCCGGCCTTGGTCAGATTTCCCCGGCAGTCTCAGCCAAGCACAACTACATGGTATGGAACGATGAAGGCAGACCGGCAGCTAACTCTCAAAAAATATTACTGGGATTTCCAGCGGTGACACCGTTTACCGAACGGGAATATCTGGACTACCGGACGCTGTGACAGATCTTGTTTGCACCACTTTGTGGGATAAGGATGTCTCGCCCCTAGTAGAAAGGAGTTGAGCAGCTGCAATGGTTAGTTGGCTACAGAGGTATGGGGAAGGGGACCCACTTATTCCACCATGACACCTCCCATACGCAAAGAAGCTACTGATTTGACAGCCCACTTGTGATTATGTTTATTATTATATCAATATTATCAATATTATTAGTATGAAAGGAAAGGAGGATTCACCCCAAGGGAGGGAGGCCGAACGGGAGTTTCCCTTGGTCACAATTGTGAACAAATCCATGCGTGAGAAGCTGGCATGGGATAATCAACACAGAAGCCGAACAAGAACACCTGTTCGGTCCACAAGAATGCCGACCAGGAGCTTTAAAATTTTGCCTTCGTAGCAGATTTCCCGAGCGAGAACTCTGCAGTTGGATAGATTTCTGGGAAATAAGGGTGGAACCCATACGGTATTGCCATACGGCCTATCTCTGCTACCTCCTTGCCACCGCCCGACACCATCTTCCCATACTGAAAATTCAGTGCGATTGGCCGTTCGGGAAAACAACAGGTCCGGCCACAGATCATCTCACAGATAGATTCATGCAGTTGCTCATCTCGCATCAGTTGCATCCAAATTAGATGCACTGCACGACCCTCTCCTTTAGGAACCAGGACAGCAGCGCCATCCGGCGTCAGCTATCCGGCTTCCGGCAACCGAGGTTGCCCAATTCACGCACTATCCCCTCAGTTATTTGGCAGCGGGACGTCAGCTCTCCGAACGGTCGTCATGGTCGGGAATCCACCAGAATTCCTCTACCCAACCAAATATCTCGAACGGGCATTCGGTTTAATCCTACATGGGAGCACGCGGGAGTATCTGCACGCCAAATCTGACCCTGAGTTCCAATGATGTGGAAGTAACGGCCAAAGTCCGGCTCATGCGCAGCTTTCCTCGCCGCCGGTCGTTCTCTGGCTGTAGTCCCCATTTGCACCTCAGCATGGTTCATACGGCCAAATCCCACCTATTGCAGCTGTCCGGTCGATCGGGAGTCGCCGCTCGATCTAGCCGCTCGGCCCAAACCGTCACCTGTCTTCCCTACCCGGATTCGTAGCTCCCGACCGGCAAGATTGCAGCTCGAGACCTTATTGGCCATCCCAAATTTCCGCTGCTCAGCGATTCCTGCGTCGGGACCTCCACAGCTCGGCGTGAATCTGGAAGAACGGGAAAGCCGATCAGTTTTCTGAAAGTCTCGATCGGCAGAGGGCTGGGTCACATCTGCTCCAAGCGGATTATTTGAGGAACATATTTTGAAGAAACGGACGGGCCTACTGCTGTGAGAAAAGCTGCAGTATTCATTGCTGGGCTAGACCACCTTCGGCAATTAAAAATCTCCGGGCCAATAACTTGGTCCGGCAGCTGAAGATCAGCCTTATTGAGCTAAGTACCCAATCTCTCACTTGCAAATTAATTTCAGATAACATTTTTAGGAATGTTCGTTATCATCATTAGTTAATAGGGATTAAAAATATCCCGAATTAAATAATGTCGAGCGAAGCTTTAGAGATAAATCCTCCATTTTTAAATGGTTGGTTTAGTGGACCGACCGGCCAACGTATGACCGGGGTAATAAAGCGATCGGAGTACATCCGAAGGGCATCGCTCCAGCGACGTGTTTTATTACATTAAGAATCCCGCTCAGCATCGAGTGCTAATACATTAGAATGTAAATTATAGTATTATTACTATTGATTGCACAAATAGGGATTAAAAAAAATCCTGAATAAAATAATGCCGAACGGGGCTTTATAAATAAGATGACCATCATTTTAATTAAATGATTGATTTTAGTAGGGCCTATCGGCCCATCCCGTTTTTGCAACCATGGCTGGTACGGGGTGAAGTACTTAGTTTGATTAACTAAAGTTGTTATTTCTTGGAAACGCCCGGCAAACCACTAGGTGGTTCCGGTCATGGACTTTTACAGTTCGTGAAATAAATCTAGGCCGAGGATTATTATTACCACTTCGGCCGGTAGACATGAATAGAAGATAATAATAAAAATAAATATTATACATATGTGTGTATATACTTGTATATGTTGTTCGGCCGTGCGGCCGTATTACTTTGCTTATTGTGCAGTGGAATCCGTTCGACATGCTCGAGCTGGGAGATTCATGATTTTTGGCATGAAGCGCGGAGACGTTCATGACCGACAAAGAAAAGAATAAATCATAATTAGGCAAAGTTGTTCGATAAGCTCGAACAGAAAAGGGGATCGAGATTCAGAAAAGGGGATCGGGATTCAGAAATGAAGATCGAGATTCAGAAAAGGGGACCGAGATTCAGAAATGAAGATCGAGATTCAGAAAAGGGGATCGAGATTCAGAAATGAAGATCGAGATTCAGAAATGAAGATCGAGATTCAGAAAAGGGGATCGAGATTCAGAAATGAAGATCGAGATTCAGAAAAGGGGATCGAGATTCAGAAATGAAGATCGAGATTCAGAAAAGGGGATCGAGATTCAGAAATGAAGATCGAGATTTCTGTGTTGCCGAGTGATGTTCGGCAACACAGAAAATTTCAGCCCATGGTTAACACGCAGTCATTTCAGATGACCGAATGACGAACGGGTTAACAACATGGAAGGAAAATCATTCTCAGCTAAGAAAGTTTTGACCCTAGATTTATGAACGAATAAAGGGATCAAAACGGCTTGAAGAATCGATGCTCAGAAAATCGGTGCCCGTGGTTAACACGGTCATTCCGGATGACCGAATGACGAACGGGTTAACAACATGGAAGGAAAATCATTCTCAGCTAAGAAAGTTTTGACCCTAGATTTATGAACGGATGAAGGGATCAACACGGCTTGAAGAATCGATGCTCAGAAAATCGGTGCCCGTGATTAACACGATCATTCTGGATGACCGAATGAGGAACGGGTTGATTCCATGGAAGGAAAATCAATTCTCAGCTAAGGGAGTTTTTGACCCTAGATTTATGAAGGAATAAAGGGATCGAAAACGGCTTGAAAATTGAGGCTCAGAAAATCGGTGCCCGTGGTTAACTCGATCATTCCGGATGACCGAATGACGAACGAGTTAACAGCATGGAAGGAAAGTCATTCTCAGCCAACGGCTTGGAGTTTGACGCTCAGATAGTCTCACCTCAGCGGTTAATATGAGAATCGATTCTGGAAAACCGAATGATGAACATATTAGCAGTTTGGAGGGAGCCATTATTTCAGCAAGAGTTTTGACCCTGTAATTACGCATTGATGAAGGGATCAAAATGGCCTGGAGCTCGAGGACAGTGATTCTCACCTCAGCTTGTTAACACGTGGAATCATTCTGGATGACCGAATGACGAACGGGTTAACAGTTTGGAGGGAGCTGAGTCGTCAACTTAGCCAAAGTCGACCCTGTAATTACGTACGGGCAAAGGGATCAAAACGGCTTGGAGATGGTGTCAAGACTGTAAGATATGGATTAACCGAGCAACGTTCGGATAAGGTACGGATTGTCGCCCGGGGAATCGGAACTATGGTTTTGAAAAAGCTCGCCTCAGTCATGAACTTGATTCGGAAGCGAGTCGCCCTTTTAGCTATAAGTAAGGAATGACCCAAATTCGGTGATCTTGCTTACAGTTCAAAAAGGGTTACCTCAGACCCCTAATATGGATGATACGAGCCAGAGAGAATAGTTCGGAATGCATCAGAATTATGGGTTTGGAAGGGAGATAGTCTCACCTCAGCTTGTTGACGTGTGAGATCATTCTGGATGACCGAATGACGAACGGGTTAACAGTTTGGAGGGAGCCCCTGTCCCAGCTGAGAGTTTGACCCTGTGGTCACGATCAAAACGGCTTAGAGGAATTCACCTCAGCTAAGAGTTTTGAACCCGTGCGTCACGAACGGAAAAGGGATCAAAACGGGCTCGGGAAAGGTGTCAGAACAATTATGAAGAGATAGCCTCACCTCAGCTTGTTAACACATGGGATCATTCCGGATGACCGAATGACGAACGGGTTAACAGTTTGGAGGGAGCCCCTGTCCCGGCTGAGAGTTTGACCCTGTGGTCACGATCAAAACGGCTTGGAGGAATTCACCTCAGCTAAGAGTTTTGAACCCGTGCGTCACGAACGGAAAAGGGGTCAAAACGGGCTCGGGAAAGGTGTCAGACATAAAGATACGTGAGCCGAGTGAGGTTTGGCCACATAGAAAGGATTGTGAACAAAAGAAAAAAAAGAAGCAATGAAGTAACAAGATTGGGGAAAGAATCGAGTTTTATTCTTCAAACACTACTCGCCGGAAAGTACAAAAGAGATCAAGAGTAATACAACTTGGGCAAGAGATTATGCTACTGAATGACCCCTGATCGGGGAAGATAGAGACTGAAAACTGCCAACCTGCGCCAGATCATTAGAAACTGCTTTCTGTCTTTAGTATGGGTGGCCTGGATCATTGGAACTATGGGATTGGAAGATGGCCAGTCGAGTCGAGTCGAGTCCATGTTTGTCGAGTAGAGTCGAGTCAAATCCATGTTTGTCGAGTCGAGTCGAGTTAAGTCCATGTTTGTCGAGTTGAGTTGAGTTAAGTCCATGTATGACCAGGTCAGGTCGAGTCGAGTCAGGTCCATTCCTTTTGACTATGGCAATGTAAGGACCATGGCAATGACCATGGCATCGTAAGTCCATATCACAGCAAGGGCCACATTTTATGCAGCACGAACGGGCTCCACAGCACCGTCGTGCCTGATTCTCGGTCGGGCTCGTCCATCCTTGACCTAGGATGACGACCGCCGCTTTTATGCAGCACGAACGGGCTCCACAGCACCGTCGTGCCTGATTCTCGGTCTGGCTCGTCCATCCTTGATCTAGGATGACGACCGCCGCTCTTGTGCAGCACGAACGGGCTCCACAGCGCCGTCGTGCCTGATTCTCGGTCGGGCTCGTCCATCCTTGATCTGGGATGACGACCGCCGCTTTTATGCAGCACAAACGGGATCCACAGCACCGTCGTGCCTGATTCTCGGTCTGGCTCGTCCATCCTTGATCTAGGATGACGACTGCCGCTCTTATGCAGCACGAACGGGCTCCACAGCGCCGTGGTGCCTGATTCTCGGTCGGGCTCGTCCATCCTTGATCTGGGATGACTACCGCCGCTTTTTTATGCAGCACGAACGGGCTCCACAACACCGTCGTGCCTGACTCACGGTCGGGCTCGTCCATCCTTGATCTAGGATGACGACCGCCGTTTTTTATGCAGCACGAACGAGCTCCACAACACCGTCGTGCCTGACTCACGGTCGGGCTCGTCCATCCTTGATCTAGGATGACGACCGCCGTTTTTTATGCAGCACGAGTGGCTGGCTCTACAGCGCCGTCGTGCCTAGTACGGGATTGCACCTCATTTATGGATTATGCATGCCTTGTGCCCAAGATTATTCAAAGACTGATTCAGGGATGCTGAAAAGGGCGTGAGCAAGAGTATATTTTCTCGAGTAGATTTGCAAGCTCACTACTCAAGAAACTGGGGGACTTGTGTTGGGGAATATTATCCCGGCCTACTACTGTTCAGAGGCCCAAGTCATCACTCGGTATGAAGCCCGGTCAGCAAGGCCCATTTAGGCCTACCCAACCCGTTTCGGCCTAACCGGCCCACTATGATAGGCCCGCCCGGCCCATTTAGGCATGCTTCGGCCCATTAGAACCTTTTCGGCCCATTAGCCCCTTTGGCCCATTGGCAAACCCTCCCATTTCCTATAAATAGGGAGGAAGGCACCCATTTGAGGGATGGCTCTTTGCTCCTGGAGTGAAAGCTTCTCCCCCACCCTCTTTATTCTTTTATATTAGCACCAAGCTCCATGAATGGAGTCTCAAGATATGTACTTTGTAAATGAGTGATGGAAGTAATTAATGAAAAAGAGCGGGCTTGGACGTTAGCCTAAAAAGTCCTGTAGTTTTCTCCCTTTCCGGGTTTCCACGTAAAAATAACTAGTTCATACACTTTTATATTTATTATTCATTTTTATACTTAATCTATGATCCTGAATATCCGAAGTTATGTTGGGCTTCCGGATCTACGGGACTTAAAACTCAACAACATCAAATTCAGATTGACGACACCATCTACCCACAACGGAAGTGGATCAAGGTGCTGGATAAAAACTACCAGCTAGACCTCACCATGTTCAAATGCCAGGACCCGGTCATTCCCGCCATCATGAAAGGTCACTATCTCTGGGCCGCACTCCACAGCGCCAAACCAGTGCCAGAGATATACCTACAACAATTCTGGGGACATATGCATACAGAATCTGTGAAGGATCGCTCCAAGATTAAGACGAAGCTGAATGGTATGCGCGTAGTCCTGACGCCGTCCACACTACGATCCACCTTAGCGCTGCCAGTCCACGACACATATGATCCTCTGCCGTCCATTCCCGACCTTCTCAAGGACGTTACAGCTCTAGGCTACACCTCTCTTCTCCCCCAACTATCCAATTTCAATGGGGCATATCTCCATCACCCGTGGAAGAGCCTGTTCGGGCTAGTGAACAAATGCCTGTTACCGAAGCATGCCGTGTTTGACAAATGCTACAAGCAGATTCTCCTGATCTTTCACGACATTGCTTACAACAAGAAGTACGACATGGTTGAGCTGTTCTTCTCAGAGCTCATGGATCTCGTCAAGGCAAAGGAGAAAAACAAGTCGAGCACCATCCCATATGCTAGGTGGCTCGGGCTTATCATCCACGACACCATGACTGCGCATGCCTCATTTCCTAGAAGAAGTGATGATCCACATTTCACATCTCCAAAGCTTCTCTACTTCAAGACTGACAAAAAACCTGTCACTGGCCTGCGGATTCCTGGGTTCCTGCTAAATCTCGCCAATCCGTCCAATCCTGCAGTCCAACAGTACAGAGAGAGTGTTGAGAGAACTGTCCCTATGGTTCAGCAAAACCCAGCTGGACCTACCCCGGGGACACAGCCGAGTGCACGTGAGGGTCCTAAGAGAGCCCAAAAGCCACAGAAACCAGTGGCCGGTTTGCCCCATGAAGGAAAGTCCGACGACTCTCTCGAGACGAGTAGGATGGCTGAGGGCACCGCAACGGACGCTGAGGAATCTGCTGATGAATCGTCCAGTGATGCCCAAACTAACACTGACGATGAGGCAGTCGATAGCGTGGGTACTGATGGCGATGAGTAAGATTCTGATGATGATGGTGATGACAGTGACGATGTTGAGCATACCTATGCTCTGATCAGAAAGGGTAAGCTGTCTGCCGAATCTCCAAAAAGAATAACCGCTGAAGACGCAACACCCATAATCACCGGCAAACCCAAGACATTCACCATCAAGGAATTACAAAACTCCAAAAGTGTACACAGAGAAACCTGCAGCTCCAAGGCTGACTATGATGAAGCAGCCCACGTCATCAAGAACTCTCAGGATGCCATCATTCGCGAGAAACGGGCAAAAATAAAGAATGACAAATCATCTAAGCCCAAGTCTCATCCTCGCATCAGGAAGAGCCTCATAGATAAGGCTGACGAGCACATCTTTGCTCAATGTGAACCCTTTATCCAGATAAGCCGAGCTGAATCCCTAAGTACAGGAGCCGATCTTTTCGGTTCCCGAGTAGAAGCCGCAGCATCTGGTTCAACTGCGCATGCACAACCCTCCTCCAGCCACTCGTTAGCCTCCCAACAGGCTATCGTTTCAACAGCACATGACTCACCCACCTCTCTGGTTCCTTCCGAATCAGTTGAGCGAACTGTTGGCCAATCGCCCGAGGTCACAACCCCTCATTCAAACACATCGAGTCTAGGTGTCACATTTCCCACATTTTCTTCCTTTTCTAGGACACCTACACTATTCAAAGCACATACAGGTGCACCCACCCTGAACGCAACGACCAGAGCGCAAGCTATGACGGTTGGAAGTCCTGCTATGCCTACAATGATTCCATCATTAAACGCAGGCCACACATCAGCTATCTTCACTGATACTGTGACAACAGTTACAACCCCCGTAACTGGCCATCCCACCTTTGAAGATGTCAACGTTCTCCTGAATCGCTTCCTGGATTCCACCATAAAACCATGGGTGCAAGAAGCAATGACCGCTCTTGCACATGAATTTAGGACCACCCAAGCGGTTCAGCCTGAACATCCCACACCCCAACCTGCACCCGAACCCTTCATCTCCCATACCCAACCAATATCTTCCACCGCCCTCTCTCACCACTCCATCAACCAATTACCCATCTCCTCACCTTCTCGGGGCACCCATGATACAGAACTAGTATTATCCCCACACCCTATCACACCTTCCATCGATCTCCTATCGCTACCCTTCGACACCTTGGCATCGGCTATGCTGGACCATCTCCTCAACATACCACAAGCCAACCTCACCCCCTACCATCAAGCCATCCTCAATGCCCTCCTCTTCACCAGAGACCAAGAGCAAATGCCATGACAGTCCTCGTGGTCGCAAACGTTCCCATGAGGACCCCGATGATTCGGATCCTCATGAGGGGGAGAACAAGCGGCCACGAACACTGGAGCAAAATGCTTTAGCCAGCCACACTCCACAGCCCGATCAACCTGAAACCTCCACCAACCAACAGCCACACGTAACCAACCAAACCCAAACCAAACTTTCTAGCCTGGTCGAGCTAGATGAAACATCCCGAGGCGTATCTCCTAAAGATACCAACCGAGGAGGGGATGGAAGTCCTGATGATGCTACTACTGGTACATCTTGTAAGTCAGGCCATCAGTTAGAACCTCGTTCGAAGCTGATGACAACGGGAAATCCTAGTGACCCCGGTGTCCCAGGTAACAGGTCTCCGTCACTACAAGATCAACCAGCTCCTACCATTATGTCATCAGATGAAATGCACGATCAACTTGAGGATATCATCATTCACGAAAAATGGCCCAGATAGTGGACGGAGATGGATCAAATTATGCAAGATGAAGAACAACAAGATATGCAAAGGAGCTGGCTCTTACGGGAACTCATAAACAAATGTGCGGAGGACATAATCAGGCTCGAGGATGATGAACAAAAGGAAGGGGAAAACCACAAGGAAACTCAGAAAGAACTCGAATCTGTTGTCAGACAAACGGCGGGACGACTTCCCAAGACAGAGAAACCTTGGGAAAATGTACGCATCAAAGCCCCCTTCCAAGAGGAAATCAGAGAGGGTATATGGCGTAGACCGGAGAAAGTCAGACCTCTGAATGAACTAAAGCTGTGTGGGCTCACCCATCTCAAAGGAAAGCAGGCAGGAGGTCATCTTCATATGCTGATGCAACGGTCAACTGGGACTCAACGAGAGCTGATGGAACAAGATCTGAAATCCAACATTCTTCCAATTCATCAAATCCTAAAGGTAAAGGTTGAAGATTATCATGGAGTGAGATTCTACTCTTACAAACTTCAACGCACCGATGGGAGTGAATTCACATGTCAGGAAAACAACTTCATCATGCTCAAACCAGACGACATCTATCAAATGTTTATGGCATACAGATACCTCCCAGTCAGAAAAAGCAGAACATACAACGAAGGCCTCGCAACAATCAAGAGGTTCATGCTCAGACAAGTTAGAGTTCACTCATCTCACGACCTACAGATGGCTATCGAGTGCAACATGACAAAGACAAATCTAACACAGCCAAGACTGTATGGTCCAAAGCTCGAAGACTTCCCTGCATACCACATCTTCTTCACACCACCAGCAGTCACATATCTCAATCACAAGAATGAAAAACGCCTGATGATGGTTAGCGAAGTTGAGAAATACTGTGATGGAACACTGAAGATCATCATAGAACAGCTGTTGAAGATGAAGGAACAGCTGGATAAAAAACTTGAGGAGGCATCGTCATACATTCTAAAGGAACATTCAACGCTGGAAATCATTCTAAAAGCCATTGACGATCGCCTGGACAAGACAAACATGCTGAGACAATATGAGCACACGCTAAACATGAGGAAGCACTACTTCAAAGCTCAGAAGCAATAACAAGGTGGCACTTGATCACAAAGGGGGAGATTGTTGAAGATCATTTAATTGTGAATCAAGTTTGTCACCTATCTTGTAATAGATTAGCTTTATTATATCCTTGTATTCAATATTTGTATTTATTAGGATAAAGGATATGTGGCCAATGTGTCAGACCCATATCAGGCTGAAAGCCTTTCCGCTAACCCTATACCTGCGCATATAAAAAGGCGCTTCAGGTTTAGGGTTGCGTTAACTTTCGAACTCGTTCCAAATAGCCTTAGCGCAATATTCTTCTCTGTACGAGTTCACGGTATATCAAGGAAGGTTATCATCGATCATCTTGTGTTCATCTTTATCCTTAATCTTCTACTTGTTATACTGTTAATCTTTGTTGTAATAGAAAACAGGGAATAACACAGAATCCTAGCCCCTTTGAACTCTTCTTTTTGTTTCTCTTTGATTTTAGAATTGTCGTTCCAAAGAAAAATTAGGAAGGCTGCTTTACTAAACTTCAAAGCAAACATTTTGGTCTTCTAAAGTGGGCTTTAAATTATGGACTTTCTTTCAGTTGTAAATCAGACCTCAATCCTCAAAAATCAACCCATGTAATCCTCAAATCCTTCCATTAGAATTCTCACCTGTAAAAAAAATATTTTAACACAAAATATAACTCAAACCTCTTAATTAGGCAAATAATAAGTATAGAATTGTGAAAAAAATTAATCACAAATTCTAACTTATCAAACTCCCCCACACTTGCATTTTGCTTGTCCTCAAGGAAAATTAAAATTAAGAAACCAAATTCAACAACAAGTGTTCAAAATCCCCTTTCACTCACCAAGCATACCAACATTCCCCTAAATGACAAGATAACCCCAACAAATTCGAATCAAGTAGCCACCACAAAGTCCAACTCATAACTCAATCACCTAGACTCACGTGTCATTAATAAAGATGTATTTTACAATTCTAAACGACCTAGTGAGATGCTCAAGTAACTTTCACATAAATTATGCAAAATCCTAAGCCAATCAATCAGCACTCTATAGTCATCTCATGCTATTTCTTCCACCTTATCAAAGCACAAACTTGATCAAGATCACTTGGTACTTTTATTGGGGTTGTAACGTGGCCATGGGTATTGCTTTAATGAAAGAAAAGATATGGAAATTCAAATAAAGGAGGAAACATTTTCTATACGAAATTGATCATAGGAAGAGTTGAATATATGACAAAGAGAGCACCTAAACTATTACAACAATCAACCGGCTTCTAAGATAAAGAGACATATAGGAAGCTCAAAGAATACAACTTCAACTCACTTCTTCTTTCTTTCTTTTCTTTCTTCACTTTTTCAGTTTTTTTTTGATTTTTTTTTGAACTTTTCTGTTTTTTTTATAGTTTCAAGTCAACTTACATGTCACAAGAATCAGCACCAACAACATTGAATCCATACAAACTGCCGTGAATAACAAAGACAAATGCTCCCCAAAAGATAAACTCTTCCAAGTCACAATTTACGTATAAGAAAATGTCAACTCAAGGGTGTGTGATACATTTTGGCTATCTGGGCTCGGGGTCAACATTGATGGGTAATTAGAAAGAATTATCCGTCAAAAGCATGGTAGAATGCTTTAAGACAAATTAAGCTCAAAGGGGGTAGCAAGCGGAAATAAAATGCAATGGGTAGGCTAAAAGGTTTGGGGCTATGAAAAATGGCCTAGATCATTTCTCAATCAGTTTGCACAATAACTCAGCTTCCAAAAGAGCGACGAGACAAGTTCTATCATGCTAGCTAAAAGACAAAGGACTCACACTCCTCCCAAGAAAGTTAAAGATGCATCCTAAAAGGTCATAAAGAATTGAGAAATACATCTAAATGAATGGCACAAGAAGCTAAGAAATTGACTCCAAGTAAAAACAATGTGAAGGGCTCAATCAAATTCAAGAGAAAACTTATCATGGAGACCACCAATCATACCACATACCAATGAAAGGGAACTTGTCACAACTTGAAGCCGAAAAAGTAATCCTGAAATTAAATTTCCCTCAAATCCAAGCAAGAAAACAGTTTTTTGTTTGTAGTTTTTCTGATTTTTGATTTTTTTTTGAAACTAGAATAGAACTAAAAAATGAGAGCTACTCCCCCCCACACTTATCTCAAGCATTGTCCTCAATGAAAGATTAAGAAACAAGAGAAAGGTGAAGAAGAACTCCCTGAATGCACAGCAAATTAGAATTGAAACATCTTGAAACGTAACCTGCAAAACTAAGAAACAAAGAAAGAAAAGAACAAGATGGGGAGGGGAGGAAAAAACAACAGAATTAAGAAAATGTTTTTTTTTCTTTTTTTTTTTTTGAAAACTATGACTAGACACAACATGAGCAACGATATTCCCGAAGCTCAAGACACTCAACTTGCTCAACTACATCTTCACTTCTCAAATATTGTTTCACTCGCTGACCGTTCACCTTAAAAACATTCCTAGATTTGGGATTTTCAAGCTCAATCGCTCCATGAGGAAAAACTTGGCGAATTAAAAACGGTCCAGTCCACCTGGATTTTAACTTCCCTGGAAAAAGCCTTAAACGAGAGTCATATAACAACACCTCCATCCCGAGTTTAAAATTTCTCCTCAAAATGGATTTATCATGACAAAGTTTAGTGCGATCTTTATAAATTTTCGCACTATCATATGCATCATTCCTAATCTCATCCAGCTCATTCAAATGCAATTTTCTTAACTCACCTGCTTCTTTCAGATCAAAATTCAGCGCCTTGATAGCCCAGTAGGCTCGGTGTTCCAACTCTACAGGCAAATGGCAAGGTTTACCGAAAACTAACCTGTATGGGCTCATTCCAATTGGAGTTTTGTAGGCTGTCTGGTAAGCCCACAATGCATCGTTCATCCTATTAGCCCAATCCTTGCGTGAAGGATTCACAGTTTTTTCCAAAATACCCTTAATCTGCCTGTTACTCACCTCAACTTGCCCCGAAGTCTGTGGATGGTAAGGTGTTGCAACCCGATGCGTAACACCATACTTTTTCAGCAATCCTGCAAAAAACTTGTTACAAAAGTGGCTACCACCATCACTAATGATAGCCCTCGGTGTCCCAAACCTAGCAAAAATCACTTCTTTCAAAAAAATTAGCACCACTCGACTATCATTAGTTCTAGTGGCAATAGCTTCAATCCATTTAGACACGTAATCAACTGCAACCAGAATAAAATTAAACCCAAAAGTAGGAAACGGGTCCATAAAATCAATACCCCAAACGTCAAACAACTCTACAACCAGATTGTTCGTAAGAGGCATCTCATGACGTTTGCTAATATTCCCTACTCTCTGACAACGATCACATTTAGCACGGAAAGAAATTGCATCTTTAAAGAGAGTAGGCCAATAAAAACCAGATTGCAAAACTTTAAATGCAGTCTTTTTTCCACTAAAATGCCCACCACAATTTAAAGTATGACTATGATGCAAAACACTTTCTTGTTCATGTTCAGGAATGCAGCGCCTTATAGTCTGATCAGGGCAGATTTTAAACAAGTAAGGTTCATCCCAGAAATAATGTTTCACTTTGGAGAGAAAATGTTTTCTACCCTGTGAATTTAAATCGGGATGAAACTTACCAGTAACCAAATAATTAACAAGATCAGCATACCATGGCTCTTTGTTCATCACACAAAACAAACCTTCATCGGGAAACCTGTCGTTAAGAGGCATCTCTAGCTCTTTCCCAGAATATCCAGTCTGATCAGGGAGGCGTGATAAATGATCAGCCACCACGTTCTCATTTCCTTTCTTGTCCCTAATAGACAAATCAAACTCTTGCAACAATAAAATCCACCTAATCAACCTAGGTTTAGCATCCTTTTTCAGCAACAAGTACTTCAAAGCAGCATGATCAGAATAAACAATCACCTTAGATCCAATCAAATAAGACCTGAACTTTTCTAATGCAAAGACAACTGCTGACAATTCTTTTTCAGTTGTAGAATAGTTAATCTGTGCATTATCTAAAGTTCGACTAGCATAATAAATCACATAAGGCAGCTTGTCAATTCTTTGACCCAAAACAGCACCAATTGCAAAATTAGAGGCATCACACATAATCTCAAATGGATATGACCAGTTCGAGGCAGCAAGTATTGGGGCAAAAGTTAAATTTTCTTTCAGCACATTAAAAGCAACAAGACAATCATCATCAAAGCTGAAATTTGCATCCTTAGCTAACATATTACATAGAGGTTTACAAATCTTAGAAAAATCTTTAATAAACCTTCTATAAAAACCTGCATGACCAAGGAAACTACGCACTCCTCTAACAGAAGTAGGAGGTGGCAGTTTAGCAATCACATCAATTTTAGCCCTATCAACTTCAATCCCCTGCTAGAAACCACGTGACCCAAAACAATCCCTTCTTTAACCATAAAATTACACTTCTCCCAACTAAGAGTCAAATTCATTTGAACACATCTTTCAAGAACTAGCAACAGATTATGCAAACAATGATCAAAAGAGTCACCAAATAAGGAAAAATCATCCATAAAAACCTCAACAAACTTCTCGATCATATCAGAAAAAATAGACATCATACATCGCTGAAAAGTACCAGGAGCATTACATAATCCAAAGGACATTCTACGAAAAGCGAAAGTTCCAAATGGACATGTAAAAGTAGTTTTTTCTTGGTCTTCAGGAGCAACCGGAATCTGATTGTAACCTTGGAAACCATCAAGAAAGCAATAGAACGCATGGCCAGCCAAGCGCTCTAACATTTGATCAATAAAAGGTAAAGGGAAATGATCTTTTTTAGTGGCTACATTTAATTTTCTATAATCAACACACATCCGCCACCATGTGGTAACCCGTGTGGGTACCAACTCATTTTTCTTGTTACTCACGACAGTAATCCCAGACTTCTTAGGCACAACTTGCACAGGACTAACCCATTTACTATCAGAAATAGGAAAGATAATACCTGCATCGAGCAACTTAAGAACTTCTACTCGCACTACCTCTTTCATATTCGGATTTAGCCTCCATTGAGGTTGTCTACAAGATTTTATGCATACAAACAGTTGGACTAATTCCTTTCAAATCAGAAATTTCCCAACCAAACGCAACTTTAAACTTCCTCAACACCTTAAGCAACTGCTCTTCTTGTTCCTGTGTCAAGTCAGATGCAATAATAACAGGAAAAGTACTATCACACCCTAGAAACACATATTTCAGATTAGAGGGGAGGGGTTTCAGTTGCACTTGAGGTGGATTTTCAACATGCTGATTTTTTTCCAGCTCACAATCAGCCACTCTTTCCTCACTTTGCACCTCAGTTTTGTCCAAAAATTCCCTCATCTCCCTCACTTTTTCATCATCAAACTCTTGTGCATCAAGAGTCAAAGCAAGCTCAAGCTCATCTTCATGTAAAATACTCAAAGGAACAATAGAATCAAGCATATCAAGTGCAAAACATGAATCAGAATCAGCCGGCATATTTATGGATTTCAAAATGGAAAACTCAACAGTTTCATCAAGTACACTCATGGTTAATTTTCCATTTTGAACATCAATCATAGTTTTAGTTGTGGCCATAAAAGGTCTACCAAGTAAGATTGGCATATCTTTCACATATTTGCACTGCTCACTCAATGCCCTCATCACGGCTATTCACTGGCGCTCCAAAATCAGACTTTCTATGACGGTTTGACCCAAGGAAGCCAAGCAATCGTTGACAACGCAGCTGGGGGAGCAATGGGAGAGAAGACTGCAGAGCAGACCTTAGAGCTATACGAGATGCTTGGAGCTAATTCCCAACAGAAGAGCGTTCGTGGGTTTAAAGCTCTACATTCAAGCTTTAATTTTCAGTTTCAAATCAAACCATTCTCAAAACTCTTTTTAGTTAAATTTAATTCCATTTTTTTAATAGTTTTCCAATTACTTAGTTGCATTTTCCCCGTGGATTCGACCCTTACTTGAGTACTATACTACCGTGACTCATGCACTTGCGAGGACTTATAAATTGTCTATCAATTTTTGGCGCTGTTTAGCCCTTAAAAAGTTCCCTGCGTTCCAGAATCCTAGCCCCGTTGAACTCTTCTTTTTGTTTCTCTTTGATTTTAGAATTACCGTTCCAAAGAAAAATTAGGAAGGCTGCTTTACTAAACTTCAAAGCAAACATTTTGGTCTTCTAAAGTGGGCTTTAAATTATGGACTTTCTTTCAATTGTAAATCAGACTTCAATCCTCAAAAATCAACTCATGTAATCCTCAAATCCTTCCATTAGAATTCTCACTTGTAAAAAAATATTTTAACACAAAATATAACTCAAACCTCTTAATTAGGCAAATAATAAGTATAGAAGTGTGACAAAAATTAATCACAAATTCTAACTTATCAATTATGAGTTACTTTGTCGTTCAAGAATGCTTGGATTGCAAATAAGAAAGTCCAAGAAAAATTGATTGGTTCATATGAGCAGTCCACTTATGGACTTTATTGCATACTTCAACGAGATATTACAAGTCAACTTAATACTAAAGAAAGTGAATACTCATTTCATGTGTCACCAAAAAGGAGATTATATAGCCATATTTTGAAGAAGAAATTCCACTTATGGTCCTTCGAGTTTTGCACCAATTCCACAATTCGTCCTCATCTTTTATTTTATCCATTGTTGGTACCTGATTATTGTTTTCTTGACCATATATGGTCCTTTTCCGATAGTAAAAATGCTCAGAAATGGACCACAAATGATCAAGAAAACAATAGTCAGGTACCAACAATTGTCATGAATATTTAAGAACAAGACTTATTGATCATAAGAAGGAAGTTTTACAAGATTTTTCCTTTCTAAAAAACTAATTATTACAAAACAACTTGATCCGACTTTTGCCTTCGTGATGCATACAACCATACATCAATAGATCTGTCGTCATTTTTTGTCAGTATTTATCCATGTTTTGCTTCAAAACTTCACTCAGATTTTTATCCATCATTAGAGATTCAGCAAGTTCTATGACAAACATACCACAATTGTCCCCTGTAAACCACAAATGTTTGAATATAAAGGTAAACATGCATATATAATGTATTCAGAGATATGTAAAGAATATCAAATTATAGCTTGACATACCCATCATCTTGTTGTGGACAGTTCAACCAGGCCACACCAACAAGAAATTTGTCTTTTCCGATATTTATTTGCGCCTGCTTGTCATAAACGCCCAACCTCTCCATCATTTTTGGTAAAAACGTCTCCAAGTAAGGCGTGAAGGACCTAATGCTTGAAATTGAACCTCCTCTTCTCTTTAGGGAATCATACACTGATACGTTTACAATAATGTCTAGAAGCAAGAGTATCAAATGCATTTTTATGTTCAATGTCATGTAGACATAATCAGCCTATGCCCATGGCATTTCTTTTCTTTATTGCTATTTCCATTTTCCTTTTCCTGATTTCTGTTTTGGGGTTAGGAGAATCAAACGACTCTTAGTAGTCATTTCTGGCCTTTTAGTGTCCATTTTTCTGCTGCAACGAGAACTTTGTGTTCATCTTCTGCATTTATAACTTCTCTAGGTTATCTATTCCCCATCAATCCACTAAATGTGGTTTTCTGAATTGCTCAAGTTGCTCCTCGTTTAATAGCTGCTTTATTCTTTCAATGGCAGTTAAGTTTTAGCTTTTTCTTGGTCATAAAAAGAAGAACAATGATTGTAGGGATCATATAGAGTTATTTTTTATCCATTAATTATTCTTTGATTATATTATAGGAAAACCCCAATTACTATGTACTGTAGAATCCCTTCAATATCATGTCAGAAAAAACAAAAGAACATTAAGAAAGTAGCATTTTCATTGTAACCTTCAGGCTTCAGCATGTTGAACGGAATTCATGTCTCCTAATACTTCAAGAAAAAAAAAGATCAATAGGAATCCAATTACATCAACGAGGGAGAGGACATGGATAAACAAACCCCCTGCAACTCCAATTTTGAAGCTAAACTTTGGTCAGAAACCTTATTCATCTTCAGAATCCAATATCGAATTCGAGGGAAGTCATCCCTCACCATCCACATCCAGCTTCGTCCAACTGCCCCATCTGCGCCACTAGATTTCCGGCTAGGCTTCTCCCGAAGCAAGTGAGCAAGTATAGCTTGTTGAAGATGGGACTTCTAGAATTGTTCCTCGAAGGCCTTGTTCATGACCAAGTCCAACACCATGGCATGTACGAGAGTGCGGTCCGAGCCAATCTCACCCACGACAGTCTCACCGACGTTGAAGGCTTCTCCCAAGAAGAGCTCATCGCCTGGTTCCTTGTAAAAGCAATCATCGTCCACTATTAGTAGGTGAATTTTGTTGTTGTTGAAGATCTCTTATTTAAAATAAGGGCATTCCAGTCAATTACTTTCATGTTTGGTCATACGCTAGTTTGTAGTCCTAATTTAGAAAAGTGCCTTAAAGGCTGTGTGAACACAATGAGTCCCTTCATCTTCTACCCTTAATTTTTTTATCTAAGGGTTGAAATTGGCCGGGAACTCTCATTGTCTGTCGAAGCAAGGAAGATGCCCTTGATTCACTCCCACGAATGACCAATTGAGCACGGAAGTCAGCGCCAGGAAGCCAGCAATATGTGGAACCTAATGTAAAATAAAACATCTTTTTATTTTAACTAATATAACTTTTATATTTATAGTCCATATTATATAGTTAAATATACCAAAATTCATAACTTTTTATAATCTTTCATTTGACACCAATATAACATATATAAATTTTAAAAAATGATGTTTCAATCGCTGGAGAGTTTTTTATCTTTTTTTTGAAATATATTCAAGTGATAAAATTTAAAATCTCATTGTTCAAGATTTTTTTAAATCTATCATTTATTATTTTTTCAAAAATAGGTATGAACTCTGAAGTAACAAAAAAATTAAACTCCAAATTGATATTGTGCATTCTATTGAAATTTATTTCAAATCGAATTCAAGTGTGCATTTTAACACTCACAAAAAAATTAATTCACATTTTTTATTTTTTTTTTACATCGGAACATTTGAATTTTTAAATCATAATCTCATAAAAATAAAAATGTCACATAAATGATGTGTAATACAAAAGTACGGATTTAAGCATTTAATTAAAAATAAAATGTGGTGAGTAAATATATATTGGCAGTGCTGAGTTGCAGAGGAAAACTGATTTGACTGAATGAATACATACAAGTGATACAACTGATAGGGAATTTAGATTTACTGGCCCCTGTGAGGCTGTGACATATTCCCTCCAGTTCATAAAACTTGTCCAATTTTGATTCACACATTGAATAATAATAAAATAAAATCAGAGCAACACCAATCACAAAATTATTACTAGGTAATTTTCCAATAATCTCTAAAATCAATCAGTTTTGATAAGCACAAGGACATGCAAACACTCCCTAAGTTATGCGTAGTAATAACAAGGGATTTTTTTTTTTTGGCATAATTCAAATTTTAGAGCAATTTTTCTAATGCAGCAAAGGTGGTTATAATAGGGATTCATAATCTTTCACGTAATCCATTATCCATAACCCATTTGTGGTGAAAAAATATTATTCAAACTTCTAACTAGTTGAACCTTGGAGTGTTTGTAAGAGATGCTCGATTCGATATTTCATAACAGGCTGACCAGACCTTGTTTTCTTGAACATATTCTGTCTTGTTTGTTTCCGCCGCTCTTCAGCTCTCTTTCTTTCTTCCGTCTTTGCCTGAATAATGGCCTCCCTTTCCATCCTCGCCTTTTCTTCCTCTTCACGCTTTTTCTCATACAGTTCTTTCAAGCTGCGAGGCTTATATCTTTTGCTTGTATCATTATTCCGATCCACATTACTAGCTTCTCCACATTCATTCAGTTCCTAAATGGCAGTATAAATGATAAGTGCCCTTGATTAATAACATTGTTTCCCAGTTTCAGAGAGGTAAACAGTAAATTATCAACAAATGGCCAATCAAAGCGATTACTTATTTTACATAAGGAGTAGCTCCTGACTAAGTGATATATGGAGTACATAAGAAATAAAAAGCAAATCACACATGTGGATCTACTCATTGATGACCAGCACCTAAGAGTGGCTTACCACTCGTTTTCCAGTCTAATGTGTATAGTAGACATCTGCAGTATATTGGTGCGTCCATACATTCCACACCAACAGTCAAAATTCTCATTTATATCTCCGTTCTCCAATATACTCTTCTGCCACTATTAAAAGGATATTTTTGGTACTCACAATCCAAATCAACTATCTTCTATATATATCATTGATCTTAAATATAACCACAATTTATTATTACGGAGTATGATGTTTAATTTAAAAATTACTAAAATATGTCGGTAGCTTATAATTGCACTTTTGTCATATCTTATGTTTACAGTGTTACATGATTTAGTGGGCGAGCTATATCTATGGCTATTTCATACTATCAGTCAGAATTATGCACAAAACTTCTGTCAACTACAAGATGAAAAAACAGAACCAAATTGAATGGTCAAATTATGAGAGAATGAAAAAATGGTCAAACAATTTTCTTCTTCTTATGGAAGGATATTTCTTAAGTGGGATCCATATTTCCACATTCTTTTGTCTCTAGCCTGTGCATCTAAACTAGTATACACACATTAATATCCACCTAATCCAATGTATAATCTGCTTCAGTATTCATCGACTGATCTGACTACACAGGAGATGTGCTTGGTACGAAAGAATAAGAAGATTGAACAAGACCATGTCAATGACTTATTAAAAACACATAAAAGTTTATACCCTTTTTAATGTTACAACTAACAAGAGGAAAGGGTATGATGAAGGAAGACTAGCATCCATTTGAAAGCAATAAAGGAAAGCCAAACTGCTCTACCAGAGAAAACAAAAGATGCAAATGCTATATGCTTTAATAGCTCAAATGCACTGATAGAAGCAGAAAACCTAGCAAACGATAACGTCTGCCCCAGCCGTAAGCTTAACCAAAAGTTTATTAACGATAATAGTTCTTAAGACATCCTTAAATACTCCTTAACCTAATACTCCCTCCGTCCCGCTAGAATGTTCCCGGTTTGACCTACACACATATTAAGGAAATAAACTTACCAGGGGTAAATTTTACTGTTTTGACACTGTTTCGACACTATTTGGCATTGTTTCGACACTGTTTGACAGTGTTTTGCACTGTTTGACCCTGTTTTGATGTAGGATAACTTTCCATTTAGGGAAATGGGAACTTTCCAACGGGACATCCAAAAAAGGAAAACAGGAACATTCCAACGGGACGGAGGGAGTAATAAAATAAGGCCATCTAGGCCCAACAGTTTATTAGAAATAACAATTAATGAAATAAAGTAATAAGACCCAGCAATCAACCCAGTCCATCTAGGCCCGCTGGTGGGGACGGTAAACTAATAACGGGCGAGGCCCGTCCTCCTGCAGCACCGGCCCACTTGTCTGGTGCTCCCAAGCAGGCCCACTTATCTCGTGCTCCCTAACAATTTGCTCCCCCTCCGAAGCAACCTTGTCCCCAAGGTTGAAGTGAGGAAACTGTTTCACTCCAACCCAAGTAGCGTCATCTTCTGATTGACCAACCCACCGCACCAACTCCTGCTCCACATCTTCCCCTTTTTCCTGCGCCTTACGCCATGCCAAAACAGTAGCAGGTTCGAACACAGGTCCCATAGGTACCTCCAAACTCTCCGGTAGTTATGTTTCAATGGGATGATCTCTGACAACCCGGCGTAGTTGCGACACATGGAAAACAGGGTGAATTCGGCTGGTTGCTGGAAGCGACAACTGGTAGGCCGCTGGGCCCACACGCCCTTCAACCAAAAATGGACCATAGAACTTGGTTGAGAGTTTGTGATGAGATTGTCGCGCTAGAGAATTCTGCCGATACTGTCGTACTTTCAGGAAAACACGGTCCCCAACCTCAAACACTACATCCCGCCTTCGCTTATTTGCATGCTTAACCATTTGTTGTTGCGCCTTTTCCAGGTTACCTCGCAAACGTCGCAACAACTCGTCCCGGCCCCCCAGAAAATCTGCCACATCCGCTAGTCGACACTCACCCGGCAAGAATCGCTGTAAAGATGGAGGTGGCCTTCCATACACCACTTCGAAAGGGGTCATTCCGGCTGCAGTTTGGTAAGCAGTATTGTACTAATATTCTGTCCATGGTAACCAACGAAGCCACTTCTTCGGCTGATCACACGTAAAACAACGAAGATATGTCTCCAATACATGATTCAGCACTTCCGTTTGGCCATCTGTTTCAGGATGGTATGCGGAGCTGTACTTCAAGTGAGTACCCGACTGCTTGAACAGTTCTTTCCAAAAGGTACTAACGAATAGTGGGTCCCTATCACTGACTATAGATCCCGGAATGCCATGCAACCGTACAATCTCCCGTACAAAAATATCAGCCACGGACCGAGCTGTAATTGGGGGTTTTAATGCAATGAAATGTCCATATTTGGACAGCCTATCCACAACCACCATAACACTCGTATACCCTTGAGATTTGGGTAAACAAGTAATAAAATCCATGGCCACGTCCTCCCAAACTAAGTCTGGAATTGGTAGCGGTTGTAGTAATCCTGCCGGCGACATTGCTTCATGTTTTGATTTCTGGCAGACCAAACATTTGGCCACATACTCCTGCACCTGACGAAACATGCCCTTCCAATACACATTGCTTGCTAATCGCCGATACGTCCTGAGAGCCCCCGCATGACCCCGGCGTGTCATGAAATTCTTGCAATAGTTTTGGAATCCACTCAGAACTGGCTGCCAGCACCAACCGCCCTTTAAAAAACAGCCTGCCCTCAATTATTTCGAACCCTACCCGGCTGTCCGAGTCAGTCTTCAAGGCAGTCACAATGCTTTGAATAAACTCATCACGCCCTTGTTCCTCCAACACCTCCCGCATCCCTGCCCAATCCGGCACACTCAGTGCGGTCAGCGACCCCTCCTCAGCCCTTCTAGATAGTGCATCAGCTGCTGAATTGGAGACTCCCGGTTTATACTCAATTTGGAAATCATACCCCAGTAATTTAGCCACCCAATTCTGTTGCGAGGGAGTCACAATTTTCTGCGAGAGAAGATGTTTGAGGCTGTGGTGATCGGTGCGGACTGTAAAACGACGACCCACAAGATATGGCCGCCAATGTTGGATTGCCAATACCAACCCCATTAATTCACGTTCATAGGCTGATTTGGTACAGGTGTGATCAGCCAATGATTTACTGAAATAAGCAAGCAGACGTCCTTCTTGCATCAAGACTGCCCCGACTCCCATACCTGAAGCATCGAACTCAATCACAAAGTGACGCTTGAAATCCAGCATGGCCAAAACTGGAGCTTCAGTCAGCGCGCTCTTCAAGCTAGTGAAAGCAGCTGCCGCCTCTTTATTCCATTCAAATATGGATGGTGCGTCTTTCTTTAATAAGGCTGTCAGAGGCCGCGCTATGATTCCATAATCTTTGACAAAACAACGGTAATAACCCACCAACCCCAAAAAACCCCGCACATCCCGGACAGAACGCGGTTGTGGCCACTCAACTACTGCACGAACTTTAGAAGGGTCCATCTCCACGCCTGCCGCTGAAATGATGTGGCCAAGGTACTCTACCTTGGACCCTCCAAAGACACACTTCTTTCGGTTGACCTTGAACTGATTATGGTGCAAAATGTGCAGCACCTGTGTTAAGTGCACACGATGCTCAGCTACTGTCCGACTGTAGATTAAGATGTCATCGAAGAATACCAAGACAAATTTTCGTAAGAATGGCCTGAACAGATCATTCATCGTGGACTGGAAGGTGACCGAGGCGTTCGTTAACCCAAACGACATCACTAGAAACTCGTAGTGGCCGCTATGAGTACGAAAAGCCGTTTTAGAAATATCTCATTCAGCCACTCGTATTTGATGATAACCGGCTCACAGATCAAGTTTTGAAAAAATTACGGCTCCCGATAATTCATCCAACATCTCCTGGATTACTGGGATCTGGTACTTGTCTGGAACAGTCACCTTATTTAATTCTCTATAGTCCACACAGAATCGCCAGCTACCATCTTTCTTTTTAACTAAGAGAACCGGGCTGGAACTTGGCCTGATGATGCCTGCCCTTAGCATGTCGGACACGAGGTTTTCAATCTCATCTTTCTGACTATGACCATACCTATATGGCCGGACAGATACCGGGGCCGATCCGGGTGCCAACTCAATCCGATGGTCTGTAGGTCATTGCGGGGGAAGGTCCCTCGGCTCTCTAAATACTTCCTCAAACTCCCGTAGTACATCAGCCACTTGCTCCTCATTTGGCCTCAATATAGTAGTGGGCTCTCCCTCCATCACAATTGCCCAAAATTCCACATCCCTTGTCCGAAGTAGGGCCTGCAGCCCCACCTGTTTCCGGAGAGTGTCGGGTCCCCTTTCAGTTTTACCTGAATACCCTGCCAATCAAAGGACATAGTCATCGTATCCCAGTTGGTCTGGACCTCTCCCAAAGTTGCTAGCCATGCTACTCCCATTATAATATCCACTCCTCCCAACGGGAACACGTAACAATCTACCTGGATTTGGCACCCCTGCAGCAAGATTGACACCCCTTTGCAAACCCCTTCTGATTCTTGGCGACGCCCGTCCCCTAGCTGTACACCAAACTTTCCTGTCGTTTCTGCTCGTAATTTGAGTCGGGAAACAAGGGCTGTTGAAATAAAGTTGTGACTTGCGCAAGTATCCACCAAGATGGTCACTGTTAACCCCTCGGTTACACCTTTGAGTCGCATAGTACGGGGACTAGAAATCCCTGCCATGGAATATACGGGCAAGTCCATAGCTGCTGCCTGTTGTTCCTCTTGTTCGCCTAGCTGCTCGACCTCTTCGGGTGGAATAAAAAATCCAGTTTGGCTGAGGTCGAGTTCCTCATCTTCCTCAGTGACCATTACTCTTAACTGTTTTAGCAGACATTCATGTCCGGGGGTGTAGGCCTTCTTGCAACGGAAACAAAGCCCTTTTGCGCACATATCTGCCAACTCATATGGTGAGATGCGTGTGAACCGAGAGCGATTAACAGACTGGCCCGTCATTGCTGATCCGATTCCCGGCGTACGACTTGGAGATCGTGAGGACGCTGTGCTTCCCCCACCCCCTGGTTGCCAATCATCAGGGTGGAAGAAGACCCCAAAAACCCGCCAGCCTTGCTGTAACTACTGGAACGGTACTGCTGACTGTTGTAACCCTGTTCCACTCTCCCTCCGGACTGAACAGTCAAGTTGTCCTCAACATCTTTGGCCAACTCCATAGCGGCTTCCAGATCAGCTGGTCGTAAAAGCCGTAAGGAGCTACATATCATGTCTCGCAGCCCTTTCATGAAGTACCCCAAGTAGTGGGCATCACTCAAACCTGGTACCTGACCGGCCAGTTGAACAAACACGTTTACATAATCATCCACAGACCCCGTCTGCTTGATGTCGGCCAACCGTTCGAATGTGCTCCCCTTAAACCGTGTATCAAAACGGGCCACAAGAGCTTGTGAAAACTCCTCCCATGTGATATTCGGTTTCCGCGAACGTGTCCAAGAGAACCAATACAGAGCAGGACCCCCCATTGCAGCCATGGCAGACGCCACCTTCAATACAGGTCGGGTCTGATGGATTTCAAACTGCTGATTGGCCCTGGCGAGCCATCCAATCAGGTCTGTCCCCTCAAATGCTGGTAGCGTCAGAGGCGCGGTCACAGACCTAGGGTTGTGGGAGTTCTGCGAGTCATCTGTGCTTCCTCCTCCCGACTCAGAATCAGCCAGCGGTTCCCCCGACGCCATAACCTTCTGCACCAGTTTGTCTAGGGTTTGTGTGATAGCATCCAACTTGGCGTTGGTGGATTGGACTTCTGCCCTGATGTCTTTCTGGTCCGCTTCTATCGCATCCATGCGTTGATCAATGGTGGAACGTGTCATGATGAACGTAGGGCGGTGGATAGGATCCGGCAGGTCGGACTAAATTGATAGAAGCAGAAGACCTAGCAAACGATAACAACGTCTGCCCCAGCCGTAAGCTTAACTAAAAGTTTATTAACGATAATAGTTCTTAAGACATCCTTAAATACTCCTTAACCTAATAATAAAATAAGGCCATCTAGGCCCAACAATTTATTAGATATACCAATTAATGAAATAAAGTAATGAGACCCAGCAATCAACCCAGCCCATCTAGGCCCGCTGGCGGCGACGGTAAACTAATAATGGGTGAGGCCCGTCCTCCTGCAGCACCGGCCCACTTGTCTGGTGCTCCCAAGCAGGCCCACTTATCTCGTGCTCCCTAACATGCACCTACCATGATTACACTGAACATGATATCCTAATAAACTTAATCAAAATGATGACCAATGTTCACAAAGTACAACATTTACCAAATGGAATTACGTGCAAGCACATGACAAATACTAAAAAAACTCACTTCAAATACCTCTGTTATTCTTTTAGAAATAGAAGAAGCACTGGGATCACCCTGTTGCTTTACCAGTCTCTTATATTTCTTCACAAATTTAGCATTCTTGTAGAACTCCTTTTGCTTCTCTGCCGGTGGAACAAAAGAGAATATCACAAACACACACCAAAACTACATAATACATGCAAGGTTTTAAATCAACAGGCCACCACACACTTATGAACTTATGTAGAAAAAACTAGGAAGCATATGTCAAAAATGAAAATTCAACAAATGAAGACCCAGATAACAAAGTAAAAGAAAGCTGAAAGCTAAGGAGTTTTGTGAAGTATTAAATTTCGATTGTTTGAATTATGAAATACTTCCTCCGTTCTACAATAGTAGTCACATATTCATCTTTGGGAAGTTTATTATTAACGGAATCATTTCAAAATTTGGAGACTTTTATCCTACTTTCAAATGACCTTTCTAACCTTTTCTCCTCTTTTGTCTTTCCTACTTTCCACTTTTTCTTCTTTCTATTTCACACTTTTTCCATCCTACAATTTTTCTTAACCTTCCTGAAATAACTAGGAAAAATTCTATTTGTACCCACCCCCTTATACTCACCCCTGTGAGAGACTACTTTTTTGTCTGTGAATCCCGTTCACAAACAAAACACACATATTTTAGTCTGTGCACATGTTCACAAACATATTTTTCTCTGTGAACGGCAGACAAAAAAAAAGCCTCTCAGAGGGGTGGGTACAAGTAGCAAAACTGAATAACTAGTGTACCAACAATTGTAGGACCTAGAGAGTATGAAACAGTTGAATGGAATAATAAATAAAGAGTACATTCTACCCAGACACAACTTTACATTTACAGAATTCCTTTTCCCATAAACAACAAGAAAAGTATCTAGTAACAACCACACTAATAACAACACCAATTTCTTTAATAACAAGAACAACAGAACTCAAAACGTTACTAGTACATATGCTGAAACTATAACTCTTAATTATCTACTAAAACTTGCAAAGGATACGAGGTAGATGAGGTACCCTCCATTTTGAATCAGATTTTATACTAAGCCTAACAAGGCAGTTCTGTAGAGCATGAAGATCCTCAAACATAATTCCATGGCATGCAAATATTTTCAAACCATGTATTCAATTTACTCTGGAACCTACAACAGTATAAAAAGTCACAACTAAAGCACTTGTTCAAATAAAAACTAGCCTTCTAATAGTGAGACCAGTATAAAAAACATGGCATAGCGGAATTACTTATGAGGGAAGGGTTATAGTTTCCATTGCTAGTTTTGGCATTCACGAACGCTTCTAAGGAGAGGCCCTTTCCTCCCAACCTCTGCATATTTTTCTTCATATTCTTCTTCGCCGAATATGATCGATCACCATGCTTGCCCTTGCTTCTGTCACCATTCTTATTCTCATTCCCATTCCCATTCCCTAAAACTGCACTTTTTTTCGTCATCTCAGCTGCAGTACCGTCTGCAAGCTTACTGAAAGATTATTCTAAAACCCTTATTTGCAGCCGCCCGTAGGCCGATCTGACCCGATGAGGACGCCGACAGTACCAAATTTACGAATGGGATTTCATTTTGGGCTTTTTTTTTAATTATTTGAAGCCTCATACAGCCCATTCAAAAGGTAAAAGTATCACTTTTTTCATTTTTGAATATCTCATTCAAAAATAGGTAAAAGGTAAAAATACAGCCCATTCAAAAGGTAAAAGTATCTCACACGCTGCACACTTAACAATTTAACACTGTATTTTTTTCTCTATGGCTCTATCCCAAGAGACCGTATGATGTTTGTTGGGATATATATCCCGGCTTATTACCGTTCAGGAGCCCAAGACTTTATGTAGTACGAAGCTCAATCAGTAAGGTTCATTTTAGCCTATCAGGCCCGTTTCGGCCTTTGGGCCCATTTCTGCCCACCTAGGCCCAAGATGCCTGTTTCGGCCCATTCGGCCCGTTAGAGTGGAGCACCCCTCCCCCTTTCCTCAATAAATAGGAGGATTCCCCTCCTTATTAAGGATCCCCCTCTCGATCCCTCTCTTCTTCCTCCTTCTCTATAGTTAGCTTGAATCCTCCATTAATGGAGCTTGTATAATGTATTGGTGAGGAGAGCAGTAATAAAAGGAGCGGGCTTGGACATTAGCCTGAACAGCCCCGTGGTTTTCTCCCTTTCGGGGTTTCCACGTAAAAATCATTGTTTATATTTTATTATCACCCCATAACCATGAAACCCTCCTGGAAGGGGTGTTGAACTTCCGGGTTGTGGCGAATTAAACTCAAAACTGGCGCCGTCTGTGGGAAACTGTTCTAAAAGATTCATGTACTCTACTGTTCTTGAGCTACAACAAGAAAAAAAATGAAGAATAAGCTACGAAAAAGGAAGGAAAATCCGGGTTGTCCAAATCTGGGTTGAAGTCGCTGGAGTCGCTGCCGTCGTTTCCACCGCCGTGGCGCCGTGGACCCTCCGGTGAGTCCAGCTGCCCTGGTGCCGCTGAGAAAGAGGGGGATTATCCATCTTTAAAGAGGCCTGCCAAGTGGCGACCGATACCCGGCCGAGAGACCCCCCACCTTTTTGCCATCTTGTGGGTCACCAGGAAGTAGGCAAGATGAAGAAGCAGCTTCCGCAGTCATCGGGACTTTCTTAGCAGGAGGGAAGAGGCAGTTGAGGGCTACGTTTGGTGTCATTTCGTAGCAGCTGTAACCTGACAAAGAAGTGTTGGAGGAATGACCAGTGGGGCCACAGTTGACCAACCAGCTGCCCACACCGGACCATGCGTCCCCACGGCGACCATTTACTCAACCGTCAAGCATGGTGACGAGCAAGAAACAACAAACCGAACTAAAGAAAAACCACAAGGGAGTTCAGAGCACCCAGTCTGGACGACCACACACCTAGCCAGAGCAGCCCGCACGTTTTCAACTTGGCCGCTTCCTGTTGGATTATTATTTAATCCTAATTCTCTCATATGTTCTTTTTGTTATAATTAAGATAGGATGGCAAAGTAATTAGGCTTGTATTATTTTTTTCTTCATGGGTTATCTCTTTATTGGGTTGGTTTGTTGGTGCATTGGGCTTGATTTGCTTAACCACTTGTTGTTGGGCCTATTTTTTGGGTCCGGCCTCTTGGTTAGTTCTTTTGCCCGGATGAAAGGTTATTTATATAACCTTCGTCTTCCCCTTCTGCACTGTTCCGCTGCATACACACCAAACCCTAGAGAGAGAATTCTGAGAGAGAGAGTCTGAGATCTGTTATCTCCTGCGATTGGAATCCATCTTCTCATGACGATTGCGAGGAAGGAGGAAGCCTGCTCTATGGAGTAGTCTGCTGGTTCAACCGGAAGTCTTCTTCTGCCCTTCGATTCCTGACTGGATTCGGATTTGGTTAACTCTGAACTTTCTCCTGTTGTTTGTCGCTGTGAGTTGTATGTCTGTTTATTGCATGTTGATTCTGGTCATTGTCTAATTACTTTTCAACCATCTTGATTGTAAAAAACCTTTTCTGAGCTAGTGGATCTGCCTGGGACCAGGTTTCCCCTCTTGAAACCCCGCAGATTAGGAAGTTCTCTTCCGAACTGCGTCATCATATCGCGTGTCTTTACTTTTCTGTTTTTGTGTTGTTTGCTTATTTGAATCGTTGAGATCCGATTTGTGTGACTGTGACTTGGTTAAGTCTGTGAACAAATTTGGTATCAGAGCCTTGTGTGTTTTCCTGAAATCTGAAATTTAACCTTTTGTTTAATTCTTGATTTCTTGAAACCCTAGTTCTTGAATTTTTCTTTGTTCGCTTCCTGGGAACCCTAGCTCAGAACTTTTCTGTCTTGTGCTTGCTGCTGTGTGTCTTGACTCTGTCTGTTTTCTGCTCTTGTTCATATCTGTTTTTCCTTGAGTCCGCATTGGGAAAATGTCTGACTCTAGTACCAAGATTCGCATCTTTGATGGTACTAGTGACTTCCCTATGTGGCAGCTTAAGATGAAGGCTCTGTTGATGAAGCAAAAATGCTTTAAAGTTGTTTCTGATGTTGAAATTACTGGAATATCTGAGTGTGACCTTGTTGAATTAAAGAATGTTGCCTACTCTGAACTGATAATTCACTTATCCGATAATGTTGCAAGAAAATTCTCAACTATTACAAACCCTAAAGTTTTATGGAATACCCTGGAATCAACCTACATGAAAAAGTCTATGTCTAGAAAAATATTTGTATTATGTAGGTTGTTCACCTTTAAGATGAATATTTCTGTGTCTCTTTCTGATAATTTGGATAATTTTCTGAAACTAACACAAGAAATTGAGAAAGTGGATGAAAAGATAAAAGATACTCATCAAGCTGCCATACTTCTTAACTCTTTGCCTTCTCAGTTTGATAACTTCAAGGATGTCATTCAATACTCTAATGAAGATCTTACCCCTGGTAAGATCATTGATTCTATTTTAGAGAAGAATGAAACCCTAAAAGTGTTCAAATCTAAGAATGATCCCTTGAATAATGAAAAGGCTGAAATCAAATCTGAAGCCTTAGTTATGAAGGGTAAATCAAAGGGTAAGAAAAATGGCTCTAAAAAGAAGAAACAAAATGATAAGGTGAATTCTGAAAAGAAAGGTTTTAAGTGTCACTACTGTGGCATAGAGGGACATTTTGCTAGAGGTTGTAGGAAAAAGAAAAGGGATAAACAGGGTGATTCAAAAACCACTGTTAATTCTAATTCTAATACTGAGTCTGCTAACATAATACAACATGAATTGCTTATCTGTTCTGATTCTTCTTTGAAAAATGAGTGGATCCTTGATTCTGGTTGTACCTTGCATGCCACCCCCAACAAAGCTATATTTTCCTCATTACACTTGTACAATGGGGGAAAGGTGATGTTGGGGGACAATACTGCTTTGGATATTAAGGGCATACGTAATGTGCCTTTAAGGATGTTTGATGGAGTTGTTAGGGTCATTCAAAATGTGAGATGGGTTCCTTATTTGAGAAGAAACTTGTTGTCTGAATCTATATTTGATGAGTTAGGTTGTAGCATTGTTACTCAGATTGGCATTAAGATGGTTTCCAGAAATGGAAATCATCTCATCAAAGCTGTTAAGCAAGGAGGTCTTTACATTGTTGAAGGTTCCTCTGAGCTAAATATAGCTGCCCCTGATACTAACATTGCTATTCAAAAACAAACTGAGGTCTGGCACAAAAGGTTAGGTCACATTGGAAATGTTGGACTTAACAAATTGTTTAAAAATTGTATGATTGACTTTAAACCAAGCCAAATTGATTTTTGTGAAAACTGTATTTTTGGTAAGAAAACGAGACACACTTTTGGCAAATCTACCTATACTGCTTCTCAACCCCTGGAATTGGTCCATGCTGACCTATGGGGGCCCTCTAAAACTGGAACTCTAGGAGGAAGAAAATATTTTCTATCTCTTATTGATCATTTTTCTAGAAAAGTGTGGGTTTACTTATTGAAAACCAAAGATGAAACTTTTGACAGTTTTAAAATCTGGAAAAAGCTTGTTGAGTCTCAATCCAAGTTTAAACTGAAGTGTTTGAAAACTGATAATGGTCTTGAATTTTGTAACCATGTTTTCAATAATTTCTCCAAATCTGAAGGGGTTAAAAGGTTTTTAACTGTCCCTGGCACCCCACAGCAGAATGGTACTGCTGAGAGAATGAACAGAACTATTCTTGAAAAGGCTAGATGCATGTTAATTGAATATGGTCTTAAAAATTCTATGTAGGGTGAAGCTGTTGTTACAGCTACTTATTTGATCAACAAATCACCATCCTCTGTGGTGGGTTTCAAAACCCCCCAGGAGATGTGGTCTGGTGTGAAACCAAACATAACTCACTTGAGGCCCTTTGGGTGTACTGCATACGCTCATATCTCTCAAGGTAAGTTAGAACCTAGGGCCATTAAGTGTGTTATGATTGGTTATCCAGAAGGTGTGAAAGGTTATAAACTCCTTGTTATTCAACCTGGAGTTTATAAATGCATTATTTCTAGAGATGATACATTTAATGAATCTGAATTTCACTTTAAAAGTGTTAATGCATCTTCTAGTGTTATAACAGATGATTCTGATGGTAACTTCTTTGATTCTCTGAGCAATGAGAGTCTGTCAGAAGGTGACATTGAGGTTGGAAGACTTCATGAAGGTATTGATGATCAATCTTTGTCAGATTCTGACCAAGATGATTCATCTGAAGGTATTGCACAATTTAATACTGACTCAACTCAGGAAGGTAGTACCTTACACTCACTTGATAATTTGAGTAATTTGCATGATATACCTGTTTTACCTGATGAAAATGAAAATTTTGGTGAAACTGTTCTAAATGATAGTACCTCTAATGAACCTGAAGAACCAAATTTGTCTGATTACCAGCTTGTTAGAGATAGAGAACCTAGAAATATTATCCCTAATAGGAAATACATCTCTAATCTAGCTGAGTTTATCTTTATAGCCTCTGAAATTGTTAAAAATAATGTGCCTGAAACTTTTGAGCAAGCTATAAAGAGTTCTAAGTCAAATGAATGGGTTAAAGCAATGCAAGAG